ACACCATTACCCCGCAGAATCCGCGCCAAAGTAACCCAGTCTATTCAAACAACTGTCAAATTTGTGGTGCGTCACAATGGTAACCAAAGCCATCTCGATGGCAGGCCATGTGGTTAGCAGCTTGCGCTATTTGGAGACAGGACGTACGAAAACCAACCGCTTTTCCCGTCCCCCATGCAATCAAGTTATCTACATGGATGGCAATGCGTTCTTTCCAGTCATGGTTCCATGCATAGGTTCATCAATAACCTAGCATCTGGATGTATCTACGCTTCTTAGCAGCCGCCTCTTGACCAACTTTTCCCACCTGTTAGCTTCTGGGATCCATGGGAAGGGGGGTCAAAATAGAGGAGGATTCTGTGTTGGTCTACCACCTGATAAAGCAATGCAACTTCACTTCGAAGTTAATTGCAGAGAGAGCAACCCGTGCATCCAAGTGCCGGCCCTCATTGAACAGCTGTTATCCTCGACCAGCCTCGTTTGAAAAGCCACGACTGAGGAGCGGAGTGTCTTGATGCATTTGCCGCTGCCAGGCCTGTCTCATCTGTTTTGACTATTAATAGAATACCAGCAACGTTGAGTCCTGTTTTTTTCTAAGTTGTAAGTGCAAATTTGCTTAGCGTTTAGCACTTATACAGATCCCGTGCTGGCCTCTTCAGCCGACAGGACGTGATCAGCTGCCCTGTGAGAGACACCTGCCGTTTGCTGCACTTTCGGCTGCACAAACAATATCACCATGTAGCGCGTGGCACCTTAGTCCTTTTGCTCACCCCTCGTTTTCCGACTCGTTCTAGATTTATTTGTATGAGGCACTCAGCCCCCTAACGATTCTACCGTGTCGGGAGGCCTAGGTTCGAGTCGAACCCACACAGCAAGGAAGGTTTTTGCACAGCCAACACAGAGGCTGTGAATTTTTCACAATTGGATCAACTGAACTAAGCAAATCTGCCAACCCCCCCCCTAAAAATTAAGTCAGCCTAATAGTCACTCCTGTGGATTCTAAATGATTGCTTAGGAAATCCTGTCTGGGCAGTCAGCTTGCTCTTCCGTAATTGTGGATTCCATGCGAGCAGTAAGTTGGGCTGATAAAAACGATCCAAGTGTGATTAAATGCACGGCGCACGGTGAGCCTCGTGGCTCAATGGTAGAGCGTTGGCTGTGCAAAAGCCTTCTCGGCAACAGCAGTTTAAGTAGTGCACCTCATATACCCCTAGTCCCAGTATTTTGTCCTAAGGCAGCGGGTGTTGTAGGGGTTTTATGGGTGAAAATTTAAGATAGGCAGTGGAATATACTTGAATAACTGCTATATGCATTTCATTTTTATTGTATTTAGAAATTTAGATTTTCCTTATCTGTAGTATCGTTTAACGTATTGCAGTAAAAACCGATAATAAAAATGCAGGTTTCTCGAACTTCCTGAAAAATAGAAATGATGGTTAGGAGGTCGTCTACTTCAACTTTGGCTGCACAAAAGCCTTCCCTGCTGTGTGGGTTAGACTCCCGCCTAGGGTGCTAATTTTTCACAATTGGTTCAACTAAACGGACCAAAACTGACCCAACTGTATCGTTTGCCCTGCTTTAATAAGGGTATCTGTGGCAGAGTAGTAGTCTCATCCCCAAATTCACGACACTGCATTGGGATACGCTAACGGGTTACTGTTCTGAGTGACTTGTCTTAATGAATTTTTGATTCAGTCTGTCTTGTCCGTTTTTGTCTCTGTCTTCCAGGAAAGGAAACATTTTTGCCTGACTTACGAGTCCTCCATGGTGCGCATGTTCCGCGAAGGTCGCACTGACACCGTACGATCCTGCTGTCCGGCCTCCTGCGAGTTTGTTCAGGGCTTCCTGGACCCCAACCTATCTGTACGTCTGCATATAGTTGTCGCGCCTCCTCCTCCCCTCCTCCCTCAATCTTCACGTCCCTTATTGCATGCCCGTTTTATCGGTTCTTGAGAATTGACAAATGGCCCTCACAGTTTCGTTAAACATTGTATCTTGCGCATGAACCATATTACCCAAAACTGGGATCTCATCGGTTGTGCGTGTGTATGTGTGTCCGTGACTTGGAGCGTTGCCATCTGGCGGGTTAACTCGGACACCGCAGTCGGTCCAGCGCGTCTTGTTGTGTGTTGTGGCTGTCTGCGGGCTGAAATTCAGATTCAATGGTTCCTTCTTAATGTAGCCTTTATGACACTCCTTGTCAGGAGGATACCTAGCCAGGCGTGCTGTTTAGTACGCATGTTTGTCGCGC